GAAATAAACATGTAATGTAAGAGTTGATAGTAGCAAAAACTCCACCAGAAATACTTACAAACACTTGAAGTCAACTTTATTTGGTTTCTCTGTGTGGAATATGTATTAATTTTTTCTTAGTTTACTTAGTAAATATTTGCAATGTTCAGTTTAAATATGAGGATTAGAGTAAGGGGAAATTTGAAAGAGAATTCTTAAAACTTTTCCTCCTAAATTCAGGTTATAAGACTTATAGTTTATTGTCCAGAATTTTAATATTACTTTGAAATAGTGCTCCTAAAGAGTATCAGTAGTGTTTTGGACAAGTTTTACATAGTTTGAAAAATCGTTAACCATCTTTTACTGTCATTTGCATTCAATGTATTTGTTTAATTTGAAGATTTAAAAAAAATCAAAATTAAGCAACTAAACAGAGGGAAATGGCAGCTGGAACTTGAGAACAAAAGGAATTAGAAATGAATGACTTTAGGACACTTACTGTGACTTTGTTGTCGGTTCACTTCATTTTTGGTGACAGATGGGCTTTTATGGCAGACAGTATGGCTGCCTGGTGTTCCATAAGTCTGTGCTGGGAATAGGTTTTGTCGGCCAGTCAGGTTGCTCTGACAACAGCCTGAGTAATAGCAGGCATGTACTAAACACTTTGCTTTTATTGACCCATTTAATAGTTTTCTGAACAATCTGCAGTGGACATTACTGTTATACATCTTTTACGAATGAGAAGCCAGAGGCAAGGAGAAGTTAGGAGAGTTAACTAAAGTCACAAAGCTTGGAAATGGCAGAGTTGGGGTTTCAGACCCAGGCAGTCAGATACCGGCTGGTACCTACTTGAGTTGACTATTAGCTCTGTATCATATATTTGAAATTATCTACACTGATGGGATAGAAATTTTGTATTTGCTTTGAGTGCAACATTAAAATATGCAAGGCAGGGATATGCTCGTAAATTTTTCATATACCCTTATTAGGTGATATCCTTATTGCATAAAGATATGGCAACAAATATTGTAATGCACTGTTTTCAGATCTTTGGACAATTCCGTGAGATATTTGTTAGGAAAAGACACATGTGGTGTAGGTTGCTTACATGCTCTCTGTCCTGTGTGCTGTATGGTAGAGAGACTTTCTGAATTAGACACTATCAACCGGGGTAATTTTGAAGAGGGGATGTTTGGCAAACATTGGTGATATCAGAACCTGTGTGGTGGGTTACTTCTCACACGTAGTATATGTAGGTCTAGGATGCTGGTGAAGGTCTATACAGTGTGAGAAAGACACCCTCAACAAAAGAATTACCTGGTCCCAAATGTCAGCATATTGAGGTTGAGAAACTCTGCACTTAGGTAAACTGGGGTATTTTCAAACTCGGCGTCTATGTTTGGGATGAAGAGGTAAGAAGTTGTCAGTCTTGGGCTCTCATAAGAATCAATTGGCCAAGACTAAATATATGCAGGGTAAGGAGGGTGTAGAGCCATTTTAGGGTGGGGTGACTGGTAAAAGGACTAAGTAGCAGCAGAAGTTTACAGAAGGGGGTATTGGAGGAAGAGGCAGATCAAAACCAGCGTGGCTGGTTTTGGTGTTTTCCTTGAGGGCTGACTTGAGCATGTAAGTGAACATAGTAAGGAAACTCGGGCTCCCTCTCCCTCCCTCCTGGACCCGATAATAGTCTTCTACTCATAGGGCTAATTTTAGGACAGCATTTCACCAGTAGTCTTTGACAGAAATGAACTAACAGTGTTTACTGTGATTTATGACATTGCAAGTCATTGATTAAGACTTTGGTTTGTATTAAAGGAAATGAAGCCACTGTTACTTTTAGAATGTTATTTTTTGCATCCTGGGCTCGGAGGATGATACCAGCCAACATGTACTGAATACTTTGTGTGCCAGACTCTGTGCTAAGACACCAGTGTTGAATCTCCTTAAATTCTTGTAATAACCTTGTAAGAGAGTAATACTATGTATGTTTTACTGTTGAAGAAAGTGAGTCCCGGAAGGGTTTGGGAGCATTCACAAGGTCAAGCAGCTTAGTAAGCCAGAGTTGGAATTCTGATTAATTCATTGACTAAACTCATAAGCTACCCCTTTTCTTCTAAATATAAATACTTTCCTTTCTCATGCTTATTTTCCATCTGTAGTTGAAGTTTTGGTACACTAGGTACACTAGGTATTTTTTTTTTTAATTTGGTCTGTTTTTGTTAGCAAATTTACATATGTTTGGAAACATTACATTCCACCTATATTTGAAAGTTGTTATTTTTTTTTAAAGTAAAGCTCTGAAATGTTTTATTTTCAGTTGGTGCTTTAAAAAAGAAACTATTGAATACTTTTAGTAACCAATTTTAGATAATTATTTGGATGATTTGGGAAAATCCTTGTATTTTTTCTATAAATAAAAGTGTGATGGCATTAAACTTTTTACATATGTAAACCCAGAGGATGTATTTCTTGAATTTTGTTCTCACTAATAAATTTACATAAAACATTGTGCAAAATCAGTTCATTGAAATTCTTTATAAAGATTTTTTTTTTAAAGATTTATTTATTTGTGCATACAGAACTGGGGTACAGGCCAGAGGCTTAGGGGCGGTGAGAGGCTTCACCAGAGACAGAGTGGCAGATCGACGAAGTACACTGCTGAGGGGAGCAGCGGGCGGGTCAGGAAAGGTCTGCCACATCATGTGGTCACCTCCTGGGCAGGCGGGTATTGAACTCATGCGGAAGCGGCTTTAGATTCTCAGTGCTGTGCTTTAACCCGCTGCGCCACCAGGGAGGGCCCTATAAAGATCTTTAATACCAAAAATAAGGTAGTTCCCTACTTCTCCCATGGAGGGAATATCATTTTAAAGGAGAGGGGAACTTCAGTGTATACCACATTTGGGAATAATAGATTGCTTTTAATAATCTCTAAGAAATGTCCTTGCCACTTCACCAGAGTTTGACCTCTAGAGCAGTTCACTGCTAGGCACGGTACGTGTATTTCCTCTTCGGAAAGCTTAAGTTAGGGACATGCACCATTGCCCAGGGAAGTAGGCGAAGGAAGGGGGCAGAATTGTTCTTTTCAAGCATCTTGTAATGGGGGCAAGTAATAAGGAATCTTCTTTCAAAGATAAAAATATTGTTACTTTATGTTTTGTTTCGTTTAATTTTGCCATATTTGAAGGACAGGTGTTGAGGCCGGAAGGAGGGGATTGCCCGGCTGTCTGTGCCATAGTCTGCCTGCCTCGGAGTGGCTGCAGCTCTGGGCTCTCCTGACACCACCTTCCTTCCACCTTCAGCCTTGCCGAGTGGCAGCGCATTCTCAGGCCTGATTTATGCCAATGCCTGATTTTCACTAGTTGTTCCTACGAATTTGCTAGGTTGTGAGAATTGCTGGCTCACTTTTGTGCTTGCTGGATGTGTTAACTTCTAAGTTACAGTCTTTGTATATGTAGTTGATATGGTTGGATATTCAGAGAGTTAAGTAAAAGAAACTGATTAACCTTAGAGGTATAGACATATACAGAGATATGTGGTAAATTTTTTAAAATGGGTCGTTATCTAATAATTTCTCATAATCTCTAACGGTTAAATGTGGTTTCAATACTGTGTTCCTTACATTCCCATTAGGATTTGATTCTGCAAGAAGGATAATATCCCTGTTATTTAAAAGTAATGGTCTCAAGATTTTCAGAATTTATTTTTGGTGTTAATTTAAATTGAGAATATATTTTTCAAGTGTTTTAAAGGAGTGGCACTAGTGTAGATATTAATCAAGTGTAAATATTGCAAATTATATGTAAAAACCTAATCTTTTTTCCAACCTTCATGTAACTTTTTTGATATGTGGAAAAGGACAAAAATTATAAACTCAGAGCCAAAAGTTCTTTTGTTGTTCCAAATTTCAATGCCAAAAGCATAAAAAACTGCACCTGTTGGTAATTATGAGCAAGCCAGCCTTTGCCGAATCCCAGGCCTCTGCTAAAATTTTTTTTACTGGAACTAAATGATGTTGCCATTTTTATTTTTAGGTTTGCTGGCATGGGTAATCTCATTAAGGTGCTAACCAGGGACATAGACCACAATGCAGCACATTTTTTCTTGGACTTTGAAAGTAAGTCTCTTTAGCCCTTCACAGCTGGTGTATAATGGTAAAGGTGAAAATTAATTATATTCACACCACAGTGAAGGCCAGCCAGAATATTTGTTGATTAAAATATGGGGCTAAAACAAAGTTTGCATGATTTTTTTCTTTAATTGTAGGCAAACATCACCATCATATGTATAATTCTTTAATTTCTCATTTGCTAAAATCATGTGGAGTCTGTAGCCGGTGCTGTCCTTTCATTAGTCCATGAAGCAAGTAGCCTTATGATGAACATTCTAGTAGTATGCCTTAGTGACTGTGCCCAGCAATAGATTCTGTGGTAATTCTATAAAAAAATCATAGTGGTACTACATATCCAGAATCAACATTTTAAAAACTTCCACAAATTAATGATCCAAATTTGGTTAGAAACATACTGCTGTGTTTAACGGCAGACAGGAAGTAAGTTTAATATCCTGCCACTTTAAGATGAGGTGTAAGGGTGAGCTGTGGCCAAAAATTGGGTTTAATATTTGGCTTTAAAGCAAATTGTTTCAATGCTGTATTTAAACAAGTTTAGTTGTGAATAATTCTTGATCAGAACTTTCTTTTTCAGAATACTAGCACTATTGGAATACTTACAGAATTTTTCATTATAAGGCCATTAATGAAACTTGTCTTGGGAGAATATTGAGAAGAATTAGAGCAACCGTTGTGCCATTGTGTACAGGAAAACCACATTTCACCTCTAGGTCCTACACATCAACACCTTGAGAACCCGGTTTGCTGTCTGCCAGAGCACAGTCTGGGTAACCTGAAGGACGAATTCATGGCCTAATGAACATTTTCCCTGTTACTATTTTTTAAGAAAGAAATTTCAGATGTTCTTTTTTATAAAGGGATATTTTCTCTTTTCTCATTCTTGTCTTGACAGGTACCTTAACATGGGGAATCTTCTTAAAGTTTTGACATGCACAGACCTTGAGCAGGGGCCAAATTTTTTCCTTGATTTTGAAAGTGAGAAGATGATTTTATATCTATTTCTCTTTGCCTGCAGTAGACTGCGTTTGTCTTGCTCTAAATGAATGTTCCCACTTTGCCATCTTTTTAACTGCTTTGCATGACTGAGCTATGAATTGTTTGAGTAAAATTTCTGGTGCCTTCTAGAACTGGAAGTAGTATTTCAGAGATTAAATTGTGATAAGATGTTTTATTTGAATTCTTTCTTATGAGAGATTCATATCTCCAAGTTGGACATTATTTTATAATTTGAAATCTATTCTCAAATGAAAACATTTTTATGAAAAATTTTGGTGGAAAGGACAAGTGCTACTTCAAGATTTGTTAATAGAAGCATATTTGGGAAAAATTTAATGCAGCTGAGAAAAATTCACTATGTTTCAATTACTCTGTAATTATTTAAGTATTTTGAATACAAATCTGTTCGTGAAGGCCATTCAGAGCTCAGTAATTTGGGCATAATATTAAAAGGTAAGTGTGAACCTAAATTATTTAATCTTTGCAGATAATTTGAAAAGTTAAAAAAAAATCATTGTATGTATTTATTCCAGGAATTATTTTTTCTAATTCTAAATAAAGAGAAAAATAATGGGTTCACAGACCTTTGAGTAATTTGCCTTCTGTTTGTTTTATGTTGCATGACCTATTGTAATATGGTCTAAGAGTGGCAGGTAAGTGTCATTGATGCCCATGCATGTTGACCAGCTCTTGCTTTGTGGCTGCCAGTACTGCTTTCGCTTGTCTGTTATATTGAAACAGTGGTATTGAATTGGTGTTTTGGTATGAATGTTGGTATTTTAACTGTTCACTAGAAAATTGTTAGGAAAGGGTGAAGAGATAGTCTTAGATTATAAATCATGCAATCCTTTGCATTTTATCTGAGACTAACACAAACAAATATTTAACTACTTAAAATTTAAAATTTTTCTGGTTTCGAAAACAGTAAATCCTTTAAATTTTGAGAGATCTTTGCATTTTCTATCAACTTGAGGTTAGTTGATGTGATATGCTAGGCATTTTTATGTATAATTCATTTATGTTTTTCTTTAAAACAGGACAGTTCATACAAACACATCAATTTATAGCTTATCTCCATTTTATGGAGTAATTTATGGTCTCTGATATTTTCTACTTGGACATTCTTACAGATGCTCTGTTACAGCTTGGGTATGTGTACAGGTCAGCAAAGAGCAGCAATGCCAATATCAGGACCATGTTAAATTGTTGGGCTTTTAGGGGAAAATGCTATTAAGTGGCTGTTCATTTTCTTGACCCTCCTCAACAATTTAACAGTGCTCTTTGAAGTGCATGTTCAGCATGACTTTTAATCAGCTTGGGATGTTGAACAGGTTGCTGACTTGTAGAGGATTCTTTCAGATGAGGCAACTTAAATTACTAGTGCTGTGTTTCAGTTTATTTGCATCTGTTTCAAACTTGGTCTTGTATATTTTTCTGCTATTCTGTCTCTTTTTACTCTTTGTCCCAAATTCCTTCCATTGCAGAATCTTGGCTTTGATACAGTCAAGATCTTGTTCAAGACTTGGCACTTGATCTTTTTATAAGTCTAGCATTTTGGTTAGGTCAAGTAAGAAGCATGAATTTTTAATGCAGTACTTTAAAATTTGAATAGCTAATTTAGTGGCAGGATAAGGATTAAAATGCAAACAAAGCATCAGTAATAACCAGTACTGAAGAACTGTATGTAAAGTCTTAATTTCTTAAAGGCAGATATAAATTTAAAAATTATATCTGTTGCCTGTATCAGCCAGTATAAAACTTTTGATTTGACACTTAAGAGTGTACTGTAAGTCAAATTTAATGTAAACATTTTGTCTAGTTGGCTATTTGCCGTTATTTTTTTTTTGTTAGGTTTATCACATCAATTTGCATGTTTTTGAACACATGTCCAAAAGTTTGCCTTATTATACTTCCCATCATAGTGACTGCAGCCCTTCAACTTGGTGTTCTCTTAAACTGTTTTGTACCAGGATCAAAATTGCCAGTGCGGTTGATTTGCTAGTTCCTAATGATTACTTAGAATAAAACCACAACCTTCTATTCAGTAACTTAGCAACACATTGTTCATTTCTGTATGAACAGGAATATTTAGTAACTTATTTCCATCTTTCTAATGGGTTAAATCCGGCTTAGTGTATATCCATAGTCAGATAATTATAGAAATAATTTCATACAGAACGATTAAAGTGGTGTGTTGCTTCAAGCTATATACTTCGAGCTATTCCAGTATTTTAAAAACAGGATTTAATGGAATCCTGCAGTTTGTAAAATAAAGACTGCATCTTTAAGGTAAATCATGACTCCTCTAATTCATATGTGTGCATGCATTTACTTAGAATTTCACTTTAGTTCACTGCATATGACTTGCCAGTTGTATGCCAGCCGGTAGGTGCTGGGATACAAAGATCCTAAGATCAGTTAGTGCCTTTGGGTAGTTCTGCCCTTACAAGATAGGTAGAAATACAAATAATTTTATCTACATGTGTTTCATTCAAGATGTTTATCAGAGGGATTGACTTTACTTAGCAATAAATTAGACAGTGGGCTTTCTAATGACAACATTTTAATTCAGTTGTGAAAGTGAAGTAGAACTTTTCAAGCTTTAAGTGTTTAGTAAAGGATTGTAGATGGAACAATATGTATAGCTTGAGGTATAAAAAAAAAGGACTTTTTCTGTAATCTATTTGATAAGGTTTTATTTTAAAATAATGATTCAGGTAAGCTAGAAACCCAAGGTTGCCCCCATAAAATGTGGTAGCACTTATGTTATGACAGCATATGCTAATAACAGTTGTGGCTTGTAGAGTGTTAGACTGTCTTCTAGTTCTTGTAATTTCCTATTTTATCATGACATTAAATTTATAACTCATTCTTCTAATAACAAACCATTAACCTGAATAACAACTACAGCGTCCATGGTAGCTCATTAATTTGAGATTCTTGGGAGAAGAGGGACTTTAATGTTTCTTCCCAACCCTAGCACAGTGCTTTGTAATTGATAGAAGTTAACATTGATTCACGTATCTTCAGGTAGACCAAAATAGGATAGTAACTACAGATGGTCATTTGTCAAAGAGACTAGAACCTTATCTTCTCTACCTTTGTTAAATAGTGCCTATCTTTAGCTGTTCATTTCCTCTAATTCTTGTGTCTTTTGTGTTTACCTGTTTCTCCCACCCAATCTTTTAAAACGATTGACACGGATTCTTTTGGTCTAACTTTTTATTTTTCCATTTTATCTCTTGCATATTTTCAATTGCTTTTGTACTGAACTTTGGAATGCCTTTATTTTAGTGGTATTTTCTTACATTTATTTTTCTAAAATGATGTAGGATTATATTTGTTTGGAGATGAAGGGGCATAGTAGCCTCCTTTAGTTCCTATTGAAGGTATTTTTATAACTCTGTACCTTCTCAGTCACTCAATAAATATTTATTATAGAACATCTACAGGATACTCTGTTTATACACTGTACAGCTTATATATTATACACTGAGGCCTTGCTCAGTGAAACTTACATAAATTGTAAATATTTACTGAATGAATGATGCAAGATTAAAACAGAAAGACCATTAGCAGGATTATAATTTTTTTGTGACTTGCATTTTATTCTTTTCTTTTTATAGGTGATATTTGCCTCCATTTGTACTATAACAACTACAATGTTAGCAGTTCTTTTTAGTGACTCCTATAGAACATTGATGTGAAATTATTCAGATACCTAATTTTATCTTCAAACAATAAAAGCAACTGAAATATGGTTTAATTTCCCCTTAACAATTTTTAAAACTAGCTTTTAAGACTCTGCCTTATCTCATTACTAGATACATTATTTTCCAGGCAAGTGAATGTCCTTGTTAGCTAAGTGGTGTATTTTCAAGTATTGAATGAAATTTTTCATTTTTTTGCTATGAAAAATCAAAGTGACAAGTCTTGGTTGCATTTATGATACCCTTTTTTGAAGGAAAAAAAGTACTTCATTTTATAGTCATCCCCCTGCCTAGTAAGTACTTCACCCTCTTGCATGACTTGCTCTCAGTACAGTAGTGCTTACCTGTCTGCTATTTTCTGTTTGTCTTCATTCCTACAGCAGTCTTCAGCAGCTTTCAAAATTATAAATGTGACTTTCCTGTGACATTCTAAAAAATGTTTGATCAGTGTGGTGCTGGTTATTTTTCTACCCTGAGAGGAAACTGGAATCTTCTCCTTCATTTTTAAATTTCTTGGTGCTTATTAAATCATTAATAATTATTAATCACTTCCAAGGTCTATCTGTATCTACTTAATATTTCTTTTGTATTAGTCTCAGTGTCACATTTTTCTGTTAACAGCTTGTCACCACACAAAAAATACATGAAAGCTTAGTATTTCAAGCTTCAGAAATACCTTTTGATTTAAAATAGTCAAAATACTGTCCTTTGTCATGAATTCCCACTTCATAAATTCAAACTATGACATGTGTCTACTATTGATGTTATGTCTGTAGTTTCACGATTCCATGTGAAAAAGTACAGAGTGGCTGTTTTGCATGTAAACTATTTATTTCACCTATATCTGGTGTAAGTATCAAAGTTATGAGGTATACTTTTTTTCAGTGTATGTCTATTACTTTTGAGCATTTGGTCTGGCAAAGTGAAAAAATATCACTGCTTAATAATAAACCCTAACCCTTAAGACACCATTAAGCTACAGTGTTGATATTTGTTCCTTTATAACTTTGGGCAAGCGTTTTAACTTTTCAATTGGCCCCTCTTGTACAATTATTTTGTTGTAATATTTGCATTAAAAAAAATCACATGCTCTCTTAAAAGAAGTTTGAAAAACAAGGAAACAGATGAGAACACAAATTCTTTAGTTGACTTTGCACATCGAATGCTATTTTATTATCGTTGTAAGTACTATTTTAAGTATATTGAACTTAATATTTGGTGCTGTAATTGTTGATCTTTAAAAATGTGGTTTATTTTTGACTGGTTGGCCGTTGTAATAGGTAGAATTGAGTTTTAACTGGCCTCATGAACAAAATAAGTTATTTAGGCATCGAGTCTTAGTTTTATGTATAAACTAAATTTCTTTCAAATTTTCTAAGAAAATTTCCTCAGAGAAAGAATAGAGCATTGTGTGTTTATGAGGAGGTAAAGTATAGGTGTGGTAGGGAGACACGGCAGCAGTGTCCTAAACCACGTTAAGTTGGGTTTGCCTCCCCTGCTCCCACAGGAGAGAACTTTAACATGGAGGAATTTTGTTAGCATGATTCCTCCTCTTTAAACATTATGGTAATCACAACATCAACCATTTTATGTGCTTTATGCCTAATGTGAATAATGATTATAGTTTAGCTGGAAAGATTGTGAACAATCTCATAAATTTCCCTGTGGAATGTCCACTTTTCTCCAAAACCAATACAGAACAGAAACAAACAAACAAAATGACCCTCTCATGTATTAAATAAAGAGATGTAGTCTTAGAGAACACCTGACCAAGTTCTTAAACATAGGATTTCTGTTACCTCAAGTCTAGCTGAGAGAAATCCAGGTTTAGTCATCTGTTGACATATGTGTTGTGGCGTACACCACAGGTGGCCAAATGCCCATATGTTTGTGCTCCCAGTTATGCTTATTGTAACTACAGTTCTCCACTTCATTTTTCTCTGATTTAATCTTAAGTATGTAGGACTTAATTCTAAGTATATGCATTATGCTTTAGCATTTCCAGTTTTTAGTGGCAGTGTTTGTATGGAGGGTTTAGCCCTGTAATGCTGCAACTGCTTGGTAATTTGCTCTTTTCTGCACAGGAGTCTTGACCTGGTCATCAGCAGAGAAGCACATTGTTACAGAATGAAAATGACCCCTAGAAAAAGGGGTGCACTTAAAAACTAATCTTAAAAAAAAAAAAGTTATTTTTTTTGTGACACAATCCATCATTAAAATTAACTTTATAGGAAGATTGTTTCTTATATTTGATAATGTGATCACTATATAAAGTGATTACCTGTGGGGATTTTCTTTTTATCTTCATTATATACATTGTTACAGAATGAAAATGACCCCTAGAAAAAGGGGTGCACTTAAAAACTAATCTTAAAAAAAAAAAAAGTTATTTTTTTGTGACACAATCCATCATTAAAATTAACTTTATAGGAAGATTGTTTCTTTAATATATCTTTCATTTCTTTTGCATTAAAATAAGTCATATCCATGCACTTACAGTCATGATGGATAGTGGCGAATATAGAAGAAAAAGTGATTATTAATACTATCAAAATTTTAATTTTGATTTATAGTTTTCAGATCTGTTTAGTATATCAGGTCATGATTTGTAACAAATTAGTAGTAATGTTTGGTGTTCTCTTGCTTCTTATGATTCTTAGAAACTTGAGTCTACCTATTCAAACTTATGGGAAAATTATCCATCTTAGGAGTGCAAAGTTAACATTGAATAAAATATTAGTCATCTTTGGAAATTTGGATTAACTGGTTAGAGTTATACATACACTAAAAAAAATTTTTGTGACTGTAAGTTTTCTTGTGCTTTCCTGCTGTTTAGATGCCCAGCCTACAGAATCTGAGAAGGAAATTTATAATCAGGTGAATGTAGTATTAAAAGATGCAGAAGGCATCTTGGAGGACTTGCAGTCATATAGAGGAGCTGGCCATGAAATACGAGAGGTAAGACATGTTTATAAATTCTGTAACAACTAAAACTTACTATGTCCCTCCTGTTTTTAATCTATTTTCTGTATTTTAGAATTTTTTTTATTGCTTATTAAATATTTAAAGGAAAATCGTGGTACTGTTTCAAATGCAATGAAATAGAATTTCATTGCATTTGAAATTTTTCTAAAAGAAAATTTTCTATTTTTCTAAAGAAGCTGTGTCCCTGCTTCTTATCAAGACTAACTTTTCATTCATTGACTACTTGTACTCAGCCAAGCCACAAACTCAGGTGCTGGACTACTTGGGAAAGCACCAAGCTTCCAGACTCACTCTTTCCCTACCTGCCTGTCTTCCTCTCTCCCACTCTCCCCCCCCTTTACCACATTTCCTGAAGGCATTGCCCAATTTGTTTGTTCCTACCCGCAACCCCTTCCTCTTCCTTTTTCTTCTCGGTAACTAACATTGGAAGGGATCAGTCTGATGGGTTAATAGTCTGTGCCCAGCTTAATTCCTCTCCTGACCTTTGGGCTAGTAGTGAAGGCAGAGGAATTAGAGCGCAGGCAGGAAATGTATGGACTGAGGGATCTGGGATTTTGGTGGTTGACTTGCTATTAATATTAAATAGAGGAGGAGGAATTCAGTGATTCCAGATTAGCAGCTGTGAGAAATTTTAGGTGATGTGAATTCCATTTTTTACCTCCTCTCTGGATTGTTGTTCCCTGAATATATCGCACATGTATACTTCCTTGCTTTTGTATTTGTGTGGAATGATTGCTCCTCCACCTCACCTCTACTCCGGATTGAGGAGCTTAAACCTGGCTTCTTATCTCCATGGGGATAGTGCATAGCAAATAGCCAGTGATGTTGAAGAAGTAAATATGAGATGTTTATAGAGTATTCTTGTCATTACCTCAAGTAAAATCTAAAGATTTCAGTGAATGAAGGCATATAAACCATTGGGTAAAGGAATTAAAGAGAAATAGCTTAGTAAAATAGATATGAAATTAATGTAACCTAGAAAACTTGGGAAAAATAGCACATAAATCTGCAGGTCAGAGGGAGGGCGACTGTAACTGTTCAAGCAGTTGACATTTTCCTGAGAAATGTATATTGATATTTTAGGATGACTATAAGTAGAAAAGATTTCTGGTTAGTAGCCAAACAATTTAAGAAAGGATGGTGTTGAAATAAAAGCTGGATCTATTCCAGTAAACAAAGAACAGTTAAAACTACTATAAGTTGATGAATTAATATGAAGACTTTGTAGACTCAGAACCATTCTACCTGTGGCAACGCATAGATAATAGAAAAAGTATCACTGTCAGGAAATTTTACCCCATACAATAAAAATTGTCAACAACTCAGCATTGGCTGGTTTATAAAGAAATAGGCATCTCTAAGTGCAAGTGGTATTGTGAAATGGTGGTCTTTTTGGATGTCAACTTGTCAACGTGTAAAATACCTATAAAATTGTTTGTATTCTTACACCAGAAATGTAACACTTTAGAAAATATTCCCCATAGCACAACATGTAAGTAGAAAATACATGTAAATACCTTTATGGCCACCTAATTCATGGTAGCAAAAAGTAGAAGCAATGCATAGAGTTGATCTGAGGATAAAATTAGATTATCTGTGTAGACAGCACAGAAGTGTCTGACACTTAGAAGTCAGACTGAGAGCTTACTATTATGACTGTGCTAATGCTGGAGAACTCTATTACATGTATTTTTACATAAAAACATCTCCAACAAGAGACTCAAATAGAGTAAGACCTAAGATAAACTCTTAATAAAGTTTATTCTCTAGAATAAACACCTCGAGAGGGAAATAAGAGCATGCCACTGATTTGTTGACGTATCCAAACTTCTGTGCAGATTTTGGGTTATAGTACTGTCACGACAGCAAGTGAGTGGCCTTTTGCATATTGGACTGTAACAGGTGCTGGACCAAAAACGTGGCTGCACAGCAGAAAGTCTGATGTGAAAGAAGTCCTAATTCCCAGGACTGGGAAATGTTACCAGGAATGAGCAGCCAGTATTTCCACTTGTAAACCCTGGCAAAGCCAGGCCAGGGAAATAGTTATGAAAATGGTTGATATTTACTGGAGCCTTTTGATACTGTAAATTATAATACATAGAAAATGATTTTTGGATCCTTGCAAGAGAAGTTGAATAGACTTCTCGAGAAGAAAAACCTTTAATTTTTATCTGTTTATTTCTTGAAAAATAAAATGAATGAATCCTTACCGCTTGATATCAGACATTGTTGAGTCTTAAGTATCAGGCTAAAAGGATTTTTTTTAATACTTCAGAATAATATACTCATACAATACAATGTGATGTGATGATAGTTACCTGTAGTAATACCAGATTTTCTTTCATGTTGCAGTATTCCTAGAATGATTATTTAAGCGGGATTCACTTCAAGCTATTTTGTTTAAGCATCACTTGAAACAGTTTGTTAAAAAACTGAGAAAATTTGAAAATAGTGGCAAACTTACATAGTTAATTGCTTAAACAGTATGTAACCCTCTTATTTAATGTTTGTAGCTTATATATTCAGAGCTTTCTCTAAATCTGTCTGGTTTCAATTTTCTTATGCTTTCTTGCATTTTGGGTTAAACCAGAGTACTACTGTGCCATGGGAAAGACTATGCTTGTATATTCCCCCTGGGAATATTACAGGCAGCTGGGTGTGTTTTAACTTGTTTGAAGGTGCTAGAGGAAACTGGCAGAGCCATTGTGTTCCTTCCATCAAGGATTAAGTAAAGCATGTGTAAGCCAAGGAAAGTGGAAACAAGGAAACACTTTTTTGGAAATAATTGTTTAGGGTTTGAAAGACAAGTCATAGAAAGATGCAATCTCAGACAGGGGTCTCTAGATTATGGGGTCTCCCTCTCTTTCAGATTTAAAACTAATTTTCCACCTTTTCAAGAAAGCCTACGAAAACTTGGGTTCTAGAAAGAGAAATTCTAGTTACAGGAAATAAATATTTGACAATTTCTAAATGGCATATTTACATTGACTTAAATGTTTGGTAGTTTTCTTAAAATTGGGTTGGAGACTGGCATTTTAATTACCAAAAGTTTCTTAGCTTGGTCCCAAACTTGGCATCTTATTTTACTCATTACCTTTTTAATTTTTCTTTTATTGCACTAAATAATTCTTTCTTGGAAACTGTAAAATGGTTTGTGTGCATGGGTGAGGTGGTGTGGGGGGTAGTTCTAAGCCCTAACCAAGACTTTAAAAATACGTCGTGTCATTTCTTGTTCCATGATACCCATATCCATTGCACAGGGAAGTGAGAATCAGTCAAGTAGGTTGAACGTGGAGTTGAGTATACTATTCTCAGCATCCTAAGTTCATTATCCTGTATTTTGTAGATTACGCCTGTATTTTCTAAAACTTTCATTTTAATGTAAAAATATGACTGACTGATTTCTAAAAAATCTAACTTTTTATTCTTTGGATTTTGAAGGCCATTCAGCATCCCGCAGATGAGAAGTTGCAAGAGAAGGCATGGGGTGCCGTTGTTCCACTAGTTGGCAAACTAAAGAAATTCTATGAATTTTCTCAGAGGTTAGGTAAGTTACAGCTTTGTAATTATGACTACCTTCCTTGACCCCAAAGTAGAGAATTTCATAATTATATTACTAATTTATTTCCTTGCCATATTTCTACAAGGGAATGTCTGGTTTCTTTGCAGCCTAAAATGCCCTAGCTTGGGAATCTACTTTGTAGGGTTTCTCTCTAGTTTTCCCAAATTCTTTCTCATTTGTGGGAACTTATCTCACTTTCCTGGGGGATCTATATTTGTGGATTAAAATCTTGGCTGTTAATCAGTTTGTATGTCCAGAACTGTACAAAATGTGCAATAGGAACCTAATAATATATCCAGAGTTGTCTAGAGAGTTACTATGACAAAAAGAATTAAAAACCACCAACAACAAAAAAACCACTGCCCTTTACCCTTACCTGGGAAGTTATTCAGCAGTCAGAATTATGCCTGTAAAACACTGAGGAAGCAAAACTTAAGTCCCTGATTCCTAGAACAGGCCGGGCAGGTAAGCTACACCTGTTCAGCTGCTTTTGTAGTTTGAAAGCTCTCAGGTAGAAGGACTTTTTTGTGTGAAGTTGAGAGTGTAGGGGAGGAGGAGTGTAGATGTGAGAAACTTGAAATGGGTTCTTGATGCATGCTTTTTCATAATTTTAGTTTTTGAATCATAAGCACATTTTATATTCTAAACGAATGTACAGTTTGATTAGAAAACCACATTGTTAGATATAGGTCAAATTGGGATTTTAGGCCTGAGCTTTGATGTGTGTGGACCACATAGTTGTTTTGTTTTTGTTTTTTTTATAGTTTATTTTTACATCATTTTTTGTACTTTTTTTTTTTCCCATCTCAATTGTAATCCCCGCAGGTTTCCCATCACCAAGTCACCCATGTGCCATCACCATAGTCCTGTGCACTTCCCTCCCCACCCCCACCCCCGATTTTAATCCCATTCCTCTCTCCACCCCCACAAAATGTCTCTGCTATATGGCTGTTCATTATTATTATTATTTTCTCACCTGGTAGACCACATCATTTTTAAAAATTTCAAAATGGTTGTCATTTGAAAATTGGTGGCTGTGTTTCAGTGTGCGCGCATGTGTAAGTCTGCCTTTGCTTTAGGCTATAGCTCGTCACTAGATGTGTGCCTCAGGTGACCAGAGCTGAGCAGCCAGGGCCCGCCTGTCCCTTAGGCCTGCTCTGCAGCAGGTCCTATCGCGCCATAGTCTGTTATATCTCACTCTCCTTAGGCCTTTATGGGAGCAGCTGGCCACTTAGGTCAGCAGCCTCTGCTTTGAAATTTAAGTTGTTTTTCCAAAATGCCTTTGTCTTCGAAACAGAAACTTGTTATTTCTCCTTAGATGCAGTACACATTGTCAAATGTAGACAAATAAAAGATGAGATGGATGTATTTGTATAAATTATCCTTGTCTTTCTAGAAGATTTGTAACTTAACTCTCCTAAACTCAGCTGTCAGTTCTTTGACTTCACATCCATGTCAATTAAGTAGTCTAGCTTTGTAATCTCAGGAGCCTGTGTCTTTTGATCATGGTTCTCTTGTCTTTTGATCATGGTTCTCTTGACTTAAACATATTTAGAGTTTTTCTTTCGCAGTTTCTAGCTGCATTTGAAGCAAATTGATTTAGAGGGTGCTCAGGTCACTTAGCATTTGCCAATAAAAAAAGTGTAGTAGGTTAAACTACTCAGATGCATTTTCTTGCGTTATCTATTGGAATTAAATCAGGTTAGTGGTGTGTGTTTCGTCTTGGGTACTGTGTTTCATTTCAGCAAAGTAACTCAGGTAACGAGCAAAAAGCTAGTAGTCATGCTGTGAACCTTCATTATTCTATTCTTGATGCTTCTGTAAAGTTGAGAGCAAACTACAAATTTAAGATCTGAAGGTTTCCTCTTCCTTTTGTCTGAAACTTGGGAAATGATGTTTACTGCTTCCTTGCTTATAGAAGCCTTTCTTGCTTGCATATAAGGAGGTCAGTGTTTGGTGAGTGTAAGAGATTAATGAACATTCACATCTGACATGTCAGATATTTTTCAGGTGGTTGGCAGAAGCAGTTAGCAATGGATTTTAGGCTTTGGAATCATCATGGCCTCAGTGTGGCATTTGTTGCTTATTAGCTGTGTGGTTTTGGTCACAGAATTGCTCAAATCCTGTGAACTTCACTAGTCTGCCTTCATATCTGTGCAGCCTTTCTTGTCTTTTCTACTTCATTGTTGAGCCAGTTGGAGAATAAATCACCTCTAACAGCAAACGGCTGGGAAGATGCACATGGTCCTGAAGAACTGCAATCTCAGAGAGAATTACTTGACCTGCGCTACCAGGGTGCTCCAGAAGGGGCGCTCTGGCTGGTGGGAAGGTACCGAGCTTTGCCACCAGGTTTCTGTCTTGTGAGGACTTAGTGGTGGAGTTATTTTAAGTGAGGGAAAGTTGTAGGTCAGACAGTAGTAGTCTTCTCATCTTCTGCCTGGGGCCACCTCTGGAGGTAATAGTGAGTGAGTTGATCCAACATTTGACTCCTTTTATCAAAATTTCCCAAAATGACAGGGTTATTTGTGATTATGTCTCTTGACTGTCTTGGATCCCCATACTTTATATCCTTTGGGTTCTTTTCTGAGGATTTGGGATCTGGTCTTTGATAGCAAATCGATGGCAGCTGACAAGAATAAGTGCATCTTCTCACTAAAAGGTGCTTTCCCCAAGGACCTCGGCTTCCTAGGTTCCCTCTTTTCTACTTCATGGACCAGTCTGCCTTACCTGTCTCCCAGTGGTCACTTCCTTGCAGCCTTCATTTATATAGCTTTGACTTCTGCACTGTTCTTCAGTTTCAGTTTCAGCCTTTAGGACTTAGTGGTCCATTAATTTACTCCTCCTCACCTCCTTTTCCTAGAAGTAAAAACCATGTGGTTTTGTTTTAGTACCTTCACAGAAACCAGTTCCTGTGCCATCTCTTCTTTGATCTCCTTTTCAACTCAGCAAGAGACCTGGAGCACCTCTTGGGATAGTCTGATTCTTTTCTTGACATAGGGCATTGTCGGCCAGTAGAGATCTGTCTGTACAGTGTAGCCCAGTGGTCTGCCACTGTTCATGGATTGTTCTCATCTGTGATCACTGACCATCCTAACTCAGCCACTGACCTTATTCCACCTTCCCAGAGTGGTAGAGCACTGTGAATGCTGACATTAATCCTAAAGCTTGATAATATATAGAAAATACTATTTTTTTTTTCTTAAATAGAAAAAAAATTACTTTTTAAAATTGTTTTACTTTTTAAATTGTTTTACTTTTAAATTGTTTTCCCCTACTCTATCAACTTAATTAAATTAGCTACTTAAATTAGCACATAGAGTGAACCTACGTGCTGGAGAGATGCAAACAGTTTTTTAAAATAACCCAAAAAAGGTCTCTCCTGTTAATTGCTCTTTGCTTACACTCACACCTTTGCAAGTCACCTATGCTCCCACAGTAAGTCACCATGCTGCAGCTGCAGTGGAGTTTTTAAATGCTAATCTGGGCCCTCCCTGGTGGTGCAGCAGGTTGCTGGCGCTGCATTGGGAAGCTAAGCAAGGCCGTGGCTGCGTCAGTGCTAGTTCAAGCCCCGCCCCAGAGCTGACCCACTTGGTGCAGCAGACCTCTCTTGCCTCGCCTGCTGCTCCCCACTCTGTTTCTGGTGAATCCTCTCACCGCCCCTGCACCTCTGGCCTGTACCCCATTTCTATATGCACACACAAAAATTTTTTTTAATAAATGCTAATCTGTTGGCATCACTACCCCCCGCTTAAAATAGTTCTGTTGGGGACATTAGAATGCCAAGGCCAGGGTGTCTAGTGTGGCATACAAATGATACGCATGCTGTTTTAGCCTTGGGCTCGCTCTCCTCCTTGCTCTCTTCATTGAACCTCTTGCTCTACTACGGCATGCCCTTTCCCCTGCTCCTCCTCACTGTGCACTGCCCTTAGCCTGTATGTCGCCTACTTGATGAAGTCTTTTCCTGAGTCTTCAACTTGGTGAGGTCCCCTTTTATGCCGTTGTATTGTATCCTGTACTTCTTGACTTCTGTCCCAGTAGCATTCATTTCACTCTGCACAGTGAGCCACTGTGTGGGCATAGAGAGCATGTCTGTCTTCATTTCTTCTCCCCTGGTGCTTGGCAAAGTAGACAGGCATTTTCAAACTACTGTTCAAAAAGGATAATGATGATCATTTGGAGTTACTGGATCAGAATGTCTCTGGAGAATCTAGTGTGTCTAGCCTGTGCACCAGGCCCAGTATGCACGTAATAGGCTCTGAAGAAGTACCTACCGCTGTGAGGAATCGGGTTAGTACTTACAGAGGCAGGTTGATGCTTCATTTGAGAGGCAATTCATTGTGTGGAAAACGGGGCTGTGGGTGCTTAAACACATGGTACACTAGCTGTGCACTGGGGATATGTCTTCGAGTCCATTGGCCCTTCTGTCACGCCCATGTCACAGTTGACGGTGAGTGAAGTGAGAGGCCAAGCTGCTCATAGTTAGGTCTTTACAGAGAGCAGAACTGGTTTACAGTCTGTTGTAAATATATTATTACTACATGTTTGTTTATTGATCTGATAGGTACTGTTTACTCTGTAACCTCTTGTTTTCGCTGAATAAAAATCCTGAGTTCAGGATTTTTACTGTTTCTGTAATGGAATGGTTTGATTTACCTGATTTTATTTTTGAAGAGATATATTTGTATTTCCATTTATAAACATAGTACTTACTAGTTTGACTTTCTAAAAATGGTACTTATTTCTTTTTTTAAAAACATTTTTATGGAAATTGAAATCACATTTATAAATTGTTCAATTTTTATTAAATATTAGAAAGATACAGACAACTTAACATTTTTATTTTTTCCCTCTTTAAAAATAATACGTTTATTGAGGTAATGCTGGATTCTGCCACTGTATCTCTTAGGGGGCAGGGCCACACCTCTCTGAAAGGCCTGTTAACACACGATGCCCAATCTTTTTTCTTTAGAAGCAGCATTAAGAGGTCTTCTGGGAGCCCTGACAAGCACCCCGTATTCTCCCACCCAGCATCTAGAGCGAGAGCAGGCTCTTGCTAAACAGTTTGCAGAAATTCTTCATTTCACACTCCGATTTGATGAACTCAAGGTAGGATGGTCTGCTTGCTCTGATGAGCCTTTCAGTGACATTAGGAGGAAATGGCTGAAGAACTTGCTGGAATATTTTCAGATGATGTGCTCCTTAGCAAAAAAGGAAAACTGGAGTTAAAATTTATGGTAGACCTTTTGACATGTGGATAATAAATATTAAATTACCCAATATTCTGTTTTCCTTTAACCCCCTTTAAAAAATATCTGCATTTAACATTACTGATTTTTTGTGGTCCTATTTCCTTTTATCCTCATCTCCAGTTTATTTCAACATTCCTTTATATAAAAATGCTGACATCTCCCCCTTTTTCTTTCCCTTCCTGTCTGAATGTGTGAAGAAAAAAGCATAGCATTTTTCTCTCAGGAGACGCGAGTGCTGTGTTGGTCTCTGCTACAGTATCTTGTTTTGAGGATGGTCCTGAGCTTGTCAGGGCCTTTCCAGCACTTGTATAGCAAGAGGAGAAGCCGACCCCTAGCTCCAGCCTCCTATGATTGTGTCACTGACTGCTACTGCAGTCATACTTTGAGGATAGGTGATTTTTTTTTGAGGCTCTCTCTGTTCACCATAAATACGTATTTTTTACTATTTAACACCGATTTCTACACATTCTTACTGATCATGCCATTTTTTAGTAAATAAGATTTTAGCATAGTACTTGAAATTTTTCAAAAGAAGGAACGTGTCCTGCTCATCACAGAGACCATCTGCAGTTTCGCGTGCACACCGAGAAAGCACAGTGTTAGGAGATTTAGTGCATAGCTGCCTCTTCGTGACAAGTTTAAAAACGGCAAACAAGTTAGAGAGTGTTACTCACCTAGTTAAAGCTACTTAGTAGATTTTCACTTAATTTTTACTGGCATTTAGTACATAACACGTTTTTCTTTCACTAATGTCTTCTTTAGATGACAAATCCTGCTATACAGAACGACTTTAGCTATTACAGAAGGACACTGAGTCGTATGAGGATCAACAATGTTCCAGTAAGTCACTGCTTTGACTCAGGAGTGGCGGTGCCGGCTGGGTGCTCAGCTAGCTCTGTGCGCTCTTTCCCTTGTCCCTTCATTCAGGTAGAGTGAAGGCAAGGGGTGAAAGGTAGCTGTGACAGCAGCCACACTGGGAAGAAAGCAGATGTAGCATGTCATGCAGTGCTTACCTTTATTCCACGCCCTTGGATTTCCAAGGCTTCAGTGAAATTGATTTTTGTCTAATGTGGAGGCATGTGAAATTTTTCTAATTCTCGTAAAAATTTTTTTTATTGAAATAACATTGCATTGTAACATAGATTCCATGTGTGAATCACTAAGGTGTTTTCACTTTAGTTGTGCGAAAGTTCTGAGCTTTTGTCCTGGCGAGAAATTGCCAGACACGGAAGTTACCGAGCGGAGAGCAAGATGGGCCCTGACCTCCCGCGCCGGGCGCGGTGTAGCTGCTTTTCTGGTTTCTTTAGCCTCTTGGCTCCCCCCTCTTAAGCCGTTGAGTAAGTACGCTTTTCTACCTCCAGGGAATCAAGCTCATGAGCAAAACTTTAAATATTTTTTTTCTCTAGGTATTTTGAGAGGTTCTACATTGTGCGCGTGGGCGGTACCTTTCTAGAGTCAGCCCTCATCATTGCAGCAGTTTCATAAAGTGACATAACATGTTAAAAAAAATACCAAGTGAGACCATACTTTCTTTTTCTTTAACCGAGTAAGTAGGTAATGAAACGGCTGCATTAAGACACTCCCTGGGTTGGAGGAAAGGTTTCTCTTCCCTGAAGCATCTGTTATGTGCCTGTTTGGATTTGTACAAGCCAGTTCTTGCTGTGAGACTGACCTTATCTGTCTTTTCACACCCACCAGTGTAGACTAAAATGAGAACAGACCCCACCTGCCGTGGCAGCGTCACTCAGGGGCAGAGAGCTTAGTGTCACCTGTGCCGCACTGTCTTTCGCCTCCCCTAGTTATAGGTAAAGCCAGTTGTTTTCAAGTGAAATTTCATTTTTTCCCCACCTGTTTTCATTTCGTAATCCTCATATCCCATCCCGTTGAGTGCCTAATTCTTTCTGGTAGTCACTCTGTTGCAGTCACACTCATTTTCCTAGACTTTCCTTTTTGGCTTAGTCCGCACACTGTCATCAGCTAACCTTCCTTAGAAAATTGACTTCACTGGCATTCCTGCTCGCTCTCTCAGGGAGGGCTGGTCCCAGCAGAGAGAGAACAGGAACTTCGGCAAGCACTTAAGACTCTGCCCCCAGCCTTGCTTTCCAGTCTTAGCCTGAAGGAGACAATTCCCTTCTTGACGAGCCTGGGGCAGCTCTGCGCTTCCTGCGGGAGTGTGCCAGCCGCTGTGACTCGGGGATTCCTGCCCCGTCTGACCTCGTCGCCTGCGGGAGCCTGCCGTGGCTGCTTTTGAGTTTTCCTTCCAGCCTGACTTGGTCTTTCTCTCTTGCGCTTTCTCCATCCCCTCTTAGTTTTTGTGGTGGCGGCTCATGGCTGTTTAGTGTCTCTCCTGAGAGCATTGGCTACAGTGACAGAGTCCTCAGTCCTCTTCTTGTCCCCCAGGCATTAGGACAATGCCTTGTGTAGCGTAGACAGCTCCGCAAGGTTTTTTTTTTGTTTGTTTGTTTGTTTGATGCCATTTAAAGTATTTTAAAAGAAGTTAACTTAAAAAATGCTTAAGGTCATTTTTAATCTCTTTTTAAAGGCTTAAGATGTATGTGTATAGGACGGTCTAAACTATACTTTGTGAAAGGTAGTTATCAGATACTCTGTCTAGGTCCTTTGATATAAATGCTTTATAATATTTTGTAAGTTATGAACAACTATCAATTGCTCTTATTTTTCACACAGGCAGAAGGAGAAAATGAAGTAAATAATGAATTGGCAAACCGAATGTCTTTGTTTTATGCTGAGGCAACCCCAATGCTGAAAACCTTAAGTGATGCCACAACAAAATTCGTGTCTGAGGTAAGCGTTGCCTGGCAACGTGTCGAATGTGGCACACCCTGTGACTTTGAGTGCCAGACCTAGGCCAGCAGGCTGCCAGAGGAGCATGCTGAGTTCTCTCCCCTTACTGGAGACCTAGTGCCCACGTCTGCCCACCTGAGTTTCCCAGTTGTAGAACTGACAGCTTAGCCAGCTGTCTCAGCAGTTCTTAAAACATAAGCCACATTCCCTTCCTCCTCTGCTCAGTTGTTTCCAGTTCCTTTGTAGTATCCTTAGGATAAAGTCCTAACTCTTGAGGTCTGATTCTGTGGTGCTTTCCTCCCAGCTAGAACTCAAGTTCGCTTGGCTGTCCTGCTCAGCCCCCACCCCTAGAGCTTAGAGCAACCTGCACTCTAATGCCTTTCCACGCAGTTAGGTAGGAACCAAATTATAACCTTGAGTTTTCATGTTGTGTCAGGTTTTAAGTTATGTGTAAGTAGTAACTGACACTTCTGCTTTAATTTATTCTCCATATACTTTTACAGAATAAAAATTTACCAATAGAAAATACCACAGACTGTCTGAGCACCATGGCCAGCGTCTGCAGAGTCATGCTGGAAACCCCGTGAGTACTTGGCTGAGTTGTCACCTTCACAGTCTGCTGAAATGTTGCCCTGCTAGAAACATGTTATATTTGAAAGGGAGAAATGAGGTATTTCTCAAAAACTTAATGTTAGTATGTGAGCAAAACTAAAGTAATTGGGCGCCTTCATCTAGCTTTTGGTTAGGTGTGAAGTCTAAAACTAACTTAGCCGTTTTGTAATGGGGACTGTGTGATCTTCATTTTGGGGTAGAGAGCGAGCTTCAGAGCTTTTTGGCTATGCCTTTCATCAGTGTTCTCTTTCTCTTCAGTAAAGAACTTTGCTTATTTGCTGGAGGGCTAGAGTTAGTCTTTTCTCTCAGCGGTATTTTGTAGTCTTCATTGTTGTGACACTAACCTGACTTCGCTTTGGGGTTAGCCTTCCATATCACAATGTCTAGCTGGATTTCACTATGAGAAGGCAGAAAGCAGTCCTGCATGCCTGAGGGAGAGGTGGTTTTGCTAGATAACTGGTAATCTGTGTGAAGCTTTTTATTTTCTAAGATCTACTATATATGTCACCTTACTGGAAAACCTAATGAAGTAAAAGGTCAACTATTCAGCATCCTCCTCCTCATTGAGGGGAGTGAGATTCTGGAACAGGAGGGACTTGGGCACTGTGCTCCACACAGGTGCCTGAATGACCCCACCCTGGTTCGGAGCTCTGACTGCCGTCTCTTGCCGCAGTCTCCAAGTGGGAATTTTCTCATTCTCCAAATGAGAAAAGAATATGCCTGAATTTCAGTCCAGCAATATAGTAATGTTTATATCAAGTTAGCCCCCAAGTAACAAACATTCTTGTTCTATTAAACTAGTGACCTTTGTTGTCATATTGGCAATTGTACCGCCCTTCACAAAGCATCCACCCCCAGAACTGCACTTTGGGGCGACTTTTGTTTTTTGTAGAATGGTCTGATCTCTACAGGAGGGATAATGTACTGTGGTGGGTGCATGTAGGGACTTCAGCTACTTCCTCTCTCTGGGAAACTCATAGAGAAAGGTCATAAAGTTTGCATCCCTTTTTGAGAGCATCAGGGTAAGTTTTTGAGCATCACCTGAGAGATGAATCAGCTCATTAATTGTGATGTGCCTCATTCATCCGTTATCTTTTCTCCTTCTAGGGAATATAGGAGCAGATTCACAAATGAGGAGACAGTATCATTCTGCTTGAGGGTGATGGTGGGTGTCATAATACTATATGACCATGTACATCCAGTGGGAGCATTTGCCAAAACTTCAAAAATTGATGTAAGTTACATTTTATGTCAATTCTAACTGTTCAATTTTAATCTGTGGTAAGGTGGATTTTAGTCTCTTCTGCTACCTTAACATATTTCCCCAAACTTGTGTCCAGGTGGAGCTGGATGATTAGAGGAAGATCTGTCTGTATGTGGCTCCTAGTAGGGTAACCTTGGACTTGAGTGGCCCCTCTGCCTAGTTGGCAATATAAATAATCAGAGATAAGAACTTGTGGTTATGTTGTATTCTTTATTTGGACAAAAGATCTTTCAAGCTAAAGAGTCATCCAGAGCTAATCTATATAAAATGTTAGTAGAGGCGCTAGATGCGAAGAGTTTAAATCTTTGCATATTTTCCCTCCTCTGCCCCGATTGCCTGGTCTCCACAGACACTTCTATTAGAGTAGTTTCTTGGTTTCCCTGTTTTGTAATAGCTCTCTTTACCCTCTTGGTGTTTGTGAGAATTTCCCTTTCACAGCAGTCCTAGCTCTTAGCCCTTCTTATCTGGAGTAGACTGCTGGTCAGTCTTCCTGCCTTCATTCATAGCTATGCTGGAAAGACAAATGAGTTCACAGTGACCGAGTCACTATTGCTTCCCAAGGGTTTTACATTTGTTTTCATTTAGCTCTGAAAGTATCTGTAGCGTGTAGGTGCTATAGCTCCCTGCAGATTGAGGTTTAGGGAAACCAGTACTGTAACTGGAATGGTAGAGTGGGAGCTTGAAACCCCCCGCCCCCTTCTCCATGGTTTCCAAAGCTTATGGTTTCTCCTGTGGATGCTCCCCATAGGGGCATTCGAGCCACTGTTCCTTCCATGCCCTCTTCATTGAGCTGTTCCCTTTTTTAATAGCCTGTGGCTTCTCCCTCCTGCAACAGCCTGTTTAAATGTGTCTTCCTGGTTTTTTCCCACCTCTACCTACCCTCCCATCTCCCCAAATCATTTCATGTCTGCAGTCTGCAGTGTGACTTTCACCTGTCAGGAAAGGTCTTCTTTTCCTTGCCATCATGTCCGGCCTGTATGAAAAAGGCTGTTCAGCACTTTTGCAGAAAAATTTCTGTGAGCAGGCTCTTCCTTCCTCTTCTTACTGTGGGTGGTTCTTCAGTTTGACTGAGAGGATTCTTCAAAAGTTCTGTTTGGCAGGCCAAACACAATAACATTTGGGTATTCCCCCCCTCCCCCCTCCCCCCAATAATTATTTTGACATTGCTAGTATGTAATTTCTCAAGAATTCCATAAATGTAGCCCTAGTTTATGTGTTACTGTTTCAGAAATGAGTGTATATGAAAAAAAGATGTTTTACCTTTTCTGTTTCCTTTTCTCCCTAGATGAAAGGTTGTATCAAAGTTCTTAAGGACCAACCTCCTAATAGTGTAGAAGGTCTTCTAAATGCTCTCAGGTGTGTATATTTACAAGTACAGATGCAGAGAGAAAATGCATGTAAAATGTGAAAAGCACAAAAGACACGAAGTGTGTTCAACACAGAAATGTGAAGATTTCACTTCGCTTATTGGTAATCTTACTTTAAATATTGGTAACAGTGTGTTTACAGTGATGTGCGTGCCCAGGTGAGAAAAGCAGTTTCATTTCCTTTAGCACTTGGCTTTCACTTTTGCCCTTTGGAAGCAAGAATTGCTTATTATTTATTTTTCAAATAGTTATAATACTAAGTGTAAATAAAAGTCAAATAACAGGAAAAAAAATTTTTTTTAAAGATTTATTTATTTGTTCATTCAGAACTGGTGTACAGGCTAGAGGCTCAGGGGCGGCGAGAGGCTTCACCAGAGACAGAGTGGGAAGCAGAACAGGCAGATCGATGAAGTACACTGCTGAGGGGAGCAACGGGCGGGCCAGGAGAGGTCTGCCACGCCATGCGGTCACCTCTGGGGCAGGCGGGAATCGAACTCATGTGGAATTGGCTTTAGTTTCTCAGTGCAGTGCTTTAACCCGCTGCGCCACCAGGGAGGGCCATAACAGGAAAATTTAAAGGAAAAGAAATCTTAATTTTCCTATTTTGAAGTATCAACTTTTTGCTGTATCACCTTACAGTTTTTCTTTACACTTATTAAGCCCTTGCTCCATCTAATATTTACAAAGTGATGCCATACAAGCTATTTTATAATTAGCTCCTTTCCTTTTATATTATGTGGTTGTATTTCTGGGTTCAGAAATAAAGATCTCTGTTATTTTTGTGTCTGTCTTATAATAGCAGTAGTGCAGACAGTTTTTATCTCTTTTTTCCCCAGCTATGACTTACTTAGTTATTAAAGCTCCTAAGGATATTTTTAAATGAAAATCTTATTAGCACATTAAAACATCTTAACTACAGAGATTTAATTGGTGTTACAGCTTCTTCAACATAATAGATGATTTGTTCATTGTTTATCTTGTGTTTTTTTTTTTTTTTTAAAGATTTATTGATGCATACAGAACTGGGGTACAGGCCAGAGATGTGGAGGGTCAGAGGACCCACCAGAGACAGACTGGGGAGCAGAACAGGCAGATCAACGAAGCACACTGCTGAGGGGAGCAGCGGGTGGGTCAGGAGAGGTCTGCCGCGCCCTGTGGTCAACTCTGGAGCAGGCGGGGATCGAGCTCATGCGGAGGTGGCTTTAGCTTCTTAGTGCTCTGCTTTAACCTGCTGCGCCACCAGGAAGTTCCTATCTTGTGTTTTAACACAAATATTACGTGACTGCAGAAATATTTATGTTGACCTTCTGAGATCACAGTCTTTGCTTTTCACGTGTCAGAGTGAAATGATTGCCATTTCCATGCCATGTTCCCCATGCGTGGTGAGCAAGCATGTTGTTACGGCTCTGGAATTCTAGTCTTGCCTGGTATGCCAGGAAACAAAATCTAGACTATATCACTTCCACTCAGTAGAACCAAGTGATTTTATTTAGATTATGAAATGTTGATTTTAAGAAGTGACTACATGACTAAAGGAGATTATTCTAAATGAGCATCAGAAAGATGAAGGAAAATGATACAACAGTAACTAATCCATAGAATGTCAAGCTAGTTCAGTCATGAGTGATGAGACGCTGTGATTTTGGAACTTTTACTCTGGAGGTTTTTACAGTGCCCAAGACTTCTGGGTTTTGCCAGTTGGAATTGTGAGTCTCTGTTCCTGGAGCCCTTGCTGATGACTTCCTGTGCCCCAGCCAGCCTGTTGTTCTCTCCAGCTCCTTTTTTCTGGTTGATTAGTCAGGACAGGTAGTGATTGCTTTTCTAATAGAAAAGCGATATGCACTTGGAAAAGGCCTGTTTGGCACACACGATGCAGTAACACGTTCATGTTGTGTTATTGCCACCCAGTTAGATGTTACTGGCTTTTCTTGGAAATAGTGGATTAAAGCTTGATAAGGTTCTCAATTGGCTCTGGCCAGGAAGGGTCCTGAGGATTGCTAGAAGCTCTTGGTCACATCCCGCAGGAGGAGCGAAATCTGGCATCCGGATGGGCAGGGAAGTGCCCGCTCTGGTGCTGCGTGGTGACGCTGCCGGTGCCCATGCGGTTCACTCAAGTCTTCGCACTCTGCTGTGTCTCAGGAGGGGAGGGAAGCTAGTGAAGGGACGCTGTTGGCCATTTTCTTCGTGACATCAGTAGGGATGTGTATAACTGTGTGCGTTTTGTGAGCTTGGGAGATGAGCTAGAAAGGGGAGACCTTTGCTACATCATCTACCACTTAACTGCGAGTACTTCTTCATAAACTTTTCCTCCAGCCCGGTTAACTTACCGTCTTGTCTTCCTTCCACAAGCACTGAGCACCTGTAATGAGTCAGGTGCTCACTGTTGGCTCTTTAGTGATATGAAAACAGTTTGGTGCAGCTTCTAAGAAAGATTACAGAGTCTGACAGGTACTGAGTCAACACATTTGTCTCTTTACATCTCCAAATATTTGAGAGTTCAGGTACTTTTTTTCAGTTTTTAATTTGAAATGAAATAAAAGTATTGAATAAACTAATCTAATACAGTAAGACCATCTGTGTGTATCTGCTTAAAATGATATATTCCTTATAGACTATATGTGAAAAGGGCCAAATCTGCCCATTTAGCATTAAGTTCTGCGAATTATCTCTTGAGATTTACCCCACAGTTAAGCACTGTTTCTGTTGCTGTGAATCTGGTCCAAGCCTTCGACACGGGCCCCTGTAACAGGCCCTTGGTTGGCCCCTCGGCTGCTACTCCTGCCCCCCACTTTCTCACCATCTAGAGAGAGCTTCCCAGAACCTAAATAAAATTGCCTATCACTCCCCCAGCCCATGTCAAGTCCTCCTCTGGCTTTTATTGCACTTGGAATAGTCTCCGAACCCCACCTACAGCTGTCAATGTCCCTGCCACCTGGTCTCTAGGCCCACCAGGCACTTCTGTCTTTCACTGGGTTTACCCCTTCCGCATGTTAGGGCGTCACCTGTTTCCATGTGAGGTTGTGAGCCCCTGGACCAGTGCACCTGATGGCTTGCTTGGTGGGTTTTCTGCCATTAAGTTCTCCCATAGTGAAGCTTCTGGTAGTATTCACTCTTGCTGATTCTTCTTTTTACATATACAAAACGCGTATTTACATACTTAGAGTAAAACGCACACACACACCCACACACCTAGAAGTAAGGTATTCAGATAGTGAAATGTTCAGGGATGGGGAAGAGATGCAGTTGTGGAGCAGTCTAGATTCAGAAGAGAGCGTGGCAGCTAGCTTATCTGTGAGCGGCTGGAGAGTGAGCAGATGTTCAGGTTTTGTGGGCCACATGATTTCTGTCACAGCCTCACACCTCTGCCATTTAGCAAGAAGCTAACCAAGACATTACTTAAATGAATGAGCATGGCTGTGTTCCATAGCACTTTTGGTATAAACACTGGACTCTGAACTTCATGCAGTTTCCATGTTACATAAGATATTCTTAAATTTTGATTTTTTTCCCTCAGCTGTTTGAAGGCATAAATGCATGCTTAGGTCACAGCCTTTATAAAAACAGTGGTGGGTTGGATTTGACCCATGGATGGTAATTTGCTGATCCCTGGATGGAGGTAGATTATTTCCCCTTGAGTGAGGAGATTCAACGCTATTTGTTGACTTTAGGATTTAACCAGACCTTTTCACCAAGTTAGTTCTAACTTAAATGGTGGATATTTTGTTTAAAAGTGGGTAGGAGGATAAACTAGGCAGCGCCTGAGAGGGTCCAGGGAACTGGATGAGAAGTTCTCCACAAGTTTGGGAGCACAGATTTGCCCGACGTGAGTCCTCTGTGGTCATGAGAGAGCCCAGTGCAGGGACTGTTTGTTTTAATTCCCTGAAATTGATGTTCTTTTACTTCTAGGTACACAACAAAACATTTGAATGATGAGACTACCTCCAAGCAGATCAAATCCATGTTGCAATAACAGTTCTGGAACAAGCGCCTGCTGTAGACACAAGACAGTATTCTGCAGTGACTGAGAATACACAGTTTTTAGTGATTGCAATTACTATCTCATTTACTCTTGCTTTTTATTTCTTTCCTCTGTTCCTCTTACCTCTTTTTTAATCATGTTCTTGTTCTTAAGACTTCCTTTCTGTGCCAAAATCAGTAAGGGTATACTCTGAAGGGACATTGTCCTTCACACGAGCCTTCTTGGGCAGCTAATTATGCATTGCATTCGGGTCTCTACTGAGAACATCTGTGACTTGAACTAAATATTTTTAAATGTGGGTTTTTTTTTTTTTGGAAAACTAATATTTAATATTGCTTCTTCTGCATGGCAAAACTGCCTATTCTGCTATTTAAAAACCCTCAATGACTTTATTTTCTACTGCCGCTTTTTTCATGTGCAGCCAAAATGAAAATGTTTAAATTAACTGTGCTGTACGAATGGTACCCAACACAAACTTTTTAAATTAGTGAGACTTTGTTTAACGTTTTAAGTTTGCATTTTGACTTTTTTTGTAAGGATGTATGTTGTGTGTTTAACCTTTATTAACTAACGTTAAAACTGTGATGTGTGCGTAGAATTTGCGTATGCATGTTCATGTTTAAAGAATGGCTGTGACGATAAAATAAAAATCAGCTTTCATTTTTCTAAGCGTGGCTTGGTTTACTGATGCTTTGTTTTTAGGCTTCCAAAGCTTCCCCCGGTGTAGCTACATGGAATGCAGAGGCACATTATATAATATACCCTTCATTTAGGGAAGAGCTCGGTCTGCTCAGTAGTAGTTTTGCTCATTATCACCTATGTACACAGTTTTAATTGTTTTTAAAATCTTGCCGACTGCAGAACGACCAGTGATCTTGTCATGAACTTGACTGTCATTGTTGATGGACTGTGAGTGTTGCCAGGAGGGTGCCTGTGCTCTTGTGTGGTTGGCTGTTGCCGAGAGAGAGGGCAGCAACCTGAAGCGAAGAGTGTGGAAGGGGAAGCAGCTCTTATTACCCTGGGAGGAGACCACGCACATGTGACAGGCTCTTCTCCAGAGGACACCGGAGGCCAGGATCTAACGGTGTCCGGGGGCTAGCCTCTGCGTTACTTTAGGATCGTAAAGCCCAGGTGTCGTGACTGGGATAAGCTGCTCGAGGACCGTCTGGCTTAATCGTGCTGGTGGTTTAATGGAGAACCCCTAGGAAGTGACCAGAAGGGCAGACTGTGGAAGAACCTCTGGGAGGCTCGTGGTCACTGCTTTCATCGTGCAGTCCTGACCCCACGGTCCCTGATGCAGGATCCCTGTGACCTTTCCTGCTTCGCATCTGCTCTCTGCCAGGCCCTCTTGCTTGATGTTTAGACAGTCACATGTGTTGTGCTGCTTTCATAACTCCGGTCTGCCCTCCCTCGTGTCCGTCTGACGTACACCGACCACTTAATCCAAGGGCCAGCCGCTGTCACCTCCTTCGGGAAGCCTTCAGGATAACACTGGCCACATCCTTCCGAGTGTTGTAATGGGTTACATAGAGGCCCCCCAAAATACGCCCACTCAGAACTTAGGAGTGGTTCTTGGAAACACTTGGAAAAAGGGGTATTTGCAGGTAAATTAAGAATATGGGTTTGAGGTCATCCTACAGAAGGCCAGGTCCTCAGTTCCAGGACAAGATCTTAGAAATGAAGGGGACACACACGAGCAGACGGCTGCCCGAAGAGGAGCCTGGAGATGAGTATCCACACACCAGGGGCCAAGAAGCTGCAGAGAGCCGAGAGGGGCACCGGGCCTCCCGCAGCCCCGGACCCGGCCCACCAATGCAGCCGCCAGCACCGTGACCTCAGATCCCTGCTCCCAGCATTCCTGCTGTTTTAAGCTGCCAAATTGCTGTCACTTGCCCCGGCAGCCCTCAGAATGTAATGTGAATCGCCAGCTACCGCTGGTGTTTGACTGCCCTTGCTGTCTTCCCCAACCCTGCGAAAACTTGACAAGAGCCATGTCTGATTTGCCTTCGGGTCCGAAGGATTCTGCGTAGAACTGGAGTTTGAGCTGGTGCCCTGCAAATGCTTGAAGGAGGAAAATAGATTCGACTCGAGGGGACGATGCAGCTGGAGTAGCCAGGCAGAGACTGCCGTGGCCTCCGCTGGCAGGACTCCCGCCCTGCATGCCAGAGAACAAGTGAAAGGGTCTGTGACTCCAGCCTGCGGCTTAGCAAACTGGTGTCGGCCAATCTGCCCGCCACCTGTTTCTGTACAGCCTGTGGACTAAGAATAGTTTTTACATTTTTTAAAGGTGAAAAAAAGATCTTATGGCATGTGTAAAGTATATGAAATTCAAATTCCAGTGTCCCTAAATAAAATTTTATTGCAACATAGTCTCATTCCATTGTTTATAGTTTACCTACTGCTGCTCTTACACCACTACAGAAGAATGGAATTCTTGTGACAGACCACATGGCTCTCAGGCCAAAGTATGTGGTGCCTGGCCCTTACAAGAAGGTGTGCCGACCCGCCTCTGTCTAGTTAGAGGAGCAGCTACGTGCTTCCCAGTGTGGTGGGAGCTCTGAGCTGCAGCCTGGTAAATGGCGATTTGTGCCAGAAGCTGGATTCCGTTTGCCACTCGGATGAAAGAGCAAACAGGTGCTTTCTCGCCTGGGTCTCGACATTTGCTGCCTGTGAGCCCAGCAGAAAGCAGGGTGGGATTAACAGGGTCTTCATGGCCTCCAGAAGTGAGCTTAGGTGACTGTATGGAAGCCACCTCCTGTGACGCCCCCTTACCTCTGGACCCCAGCTCTGCTCATCCAGGGCCCGCATTGTGCCGGTTCCTGTGAAGTGCCTGTTTCCTCGTGTCTTCCACCAGCTGTGGCCATAGTTATCCCTGGTTCTACAGTCTCTGCCTGGAAGACAGAACTTTGCAGTGGATCACTTGCATTAAAAAGCACCCTGAAGTATTTTAAGATGAGGAAACTTGTTGAGCAAGGTCATGAAGTTTGTCAAAGGCCACCCAGCTACTGATAGGGAGCCATAGTTAAGCCCTCTGTCTGTTCCAGTGCCTTTGCCATATTATTTCCATCTCAACCGATGAGTCAGATCCCTCCCTCACTGTGGAACTAGTTTGATTCTATCATTACGCTATCAGAACGATCACATCCAATTTCAGGCAAAAGCTGCTTTTCAAGAATGTTGAAGTGGACGTTGTGGAACCTTTCTGAAAGTGTTCCCAGCTCCCTAGAGAATGCCTTCATTGCCACGGAGTGTCCCTTCCCTGGGCTTCAGAAAGAGGATAGAATCTCTGGTGGGGGGGGCGGGGGGGGGAATGTGAGGAGGGGAGGGGGAATGTGGGGAGTGGAAGCGCAGGGCTGCCCTCTCACTGCAGAGGCAGGGTGTGGAGAAAGGGAAGCAGATTTTAATCCAGACCCCGTTTAATGTTCTCTCAAGACTTGGGTTAGAAATGAATCCCTCTTAGATGCCCTGTGGCTGTTTACCTGTCGTTCTCGATGTGGGGGGGCTGGGTGTTTCTGAGACCACTGATAGTAATGTGGGGATAAAAGCTGTTCGCTGGTTTCCTGAGCGTCTGGCGACTACGACGACAGATAGTGGCAGGGTCACTACACTCAGCTCCCGCCGCAAGGGGAGCCCGGCTCATTCCAGACTGAGATGCAAAGTTGCTTCCATTATTTGGAGAAAAGCACACTGCACAGTGTTACATTCAGAATACGGTCCACAGGGATCCCCTGGCCTGAAAAACCTCACTTCTCAGGCTTCAGAGAAGATTTAACATCCCACAATTCTGTTAACTTTCTTCAAGATAATCTCCATGTGTGCGTGGAAAGAAGATGGAAAGGGCAAACACCTGTATGTCAATACTGGTTCCCTCTGGTGAGTGGAATGATGGAGAATTAAAACGTGCTTCACACACTTCTGAAACTTTCATTTCTTTTTTTAAAAAACAGTGACTAGTGTTCTGATTGTCAGATAGCTTTTATCATTTGAAAACAACCTGGAAGGTGATAATGCTGAGGGCGGCACAGCCATCCTGCCTGCCTGCCTGGTGAGTGCGGCGTCTGCCTCTTCTGTCAGAGATGAGGACTGAGCTGGGCTTGGCACCTGGCTCCGGGCGCCCCCATCCACTCGGCCACACACACTCGTGCTCATGCACACACAGCCATGCTGGTCAGTGTGAGCGTTACCAGAAACACTTCCTCAGGTAGCAATTCCGCTTACTGCTCTGGCACTGGCCCAGCAAGTTTTCGTGACCAGAAATGAGATTATGGACAAAGGGGTGCCCAGCATGGGGTGTCATTAGCATGGGGTACAGGGCACCCTTGTGCAGGCCATCTGTGCTCCATCAGGGAGCTGCCTCTCTCCGCAGCTCACCAGGAAGCCACAGAGCCCTTCCTGGGAGACCCACAAGCCCAGGTTCAGGCCTGGAAGACACCAGCACAGTCACCGACACTGCGGACATGGCACCCTAACCACGTAGGCGGGGTGTTACCCACATCTCGCCCTCTCGTCCTTCACCAGCCTCCAACACACAGTGCCAGCACACACACACCTGGGTTCTGACGCCACGTGTGTGAACCGTTAGCACCACAAAGCGAGCGTGTAATTAAACCCGGGTGACATGAAGGCTGCAATCCGGCCAGCGCTCGTTCCTCAGGCCCTCCACTCCCTAATGTAAGTCCCAGTTCTGGTCAGCCTGACACAGTGGGGCAGATTGCTCAGAGCTGAGGGGAGGTCCTCCCTCCCCACTCCCCTCTGTAGAGTCCTACTTGTAGCATCTGGTCAGGGTTGGGTCCTGCTGTCCATGCCTCCTGTCAGTGACAGTACGTAGAAAGGGGTGGAACTGTCCAGCTTGCAGGGTCATTATCTCCAGCTTCTGGAAGTCCAGCCCTCCCACAGAGAGTCCCAGTGAGGGTAGAGACAGAGACGGTATCCACAGTTCAGAGGAGGTCAGAGACCCCTGCCCAGGGCAGCTGACATGATTGTGCGTCATGGCCACGGCGTATGACAAAGTGCCACGTCTTCAGGGAGGGAGGAAGAAGCAGCCCAGGCCTCAAACCCAGGAGGCTCTGTGTGCCTTGGAGAGAGCCCTGAATGAGGTTCAAAGTTCCCAGACAGCGCCTGCAAGTCACGCACGGTCCAGCAGGGGGCGACGGGGCCGCTGACTGTTCCACTGAGCACAATGAGCAAGGGAAGGAGCCTTGACCTTGGGCAGGTGCAGCAGAGGCCTCAGGGGCTCCGGTGACCCGATGAAATCCAGGGGAAAATGAGGTGCAGGGGAGTTCAAGAAGTTGCCCAAGATTTTCCTTGTGACTCCAGAGAAAATCAGAATCCCTCTGTCCCCCACCTTGTCTGCAAATGAGCGTGAGAAAACCTTTCCGGTGTTGGTGGGAGGATTAGAGGGGACAGTGTGGCAGAGGGTGGACACAGAGTGGTCTCCTCCCTGCCTCACCTGCCTCCACCCAGAACCTGACCGCGGGCTCAGGGCCCTGCCGTCTCACAGCCCCTCAGCCAAAGAAGCCAAATGCATAGAAACAGACGGTCGTGGCTGGGACTGAAGTGATAGGAGAGACGGGGAGAAACCGGCACACGTTTTTGCTTCTAAGACACAGATGAGTTTCTGGGGAGGTAATACCAGATATTGACCATAACTGTCAATACTGTATGATAGGCCTGA